CCCTATGGGGATCACCATAAGTTGGTTGCGATTTGATGGCAGTTTTCACCACTATAGAATGGGAACAACCTCGCTGTAACTCCCACGAAGGTGCTCCAGGCGGCCATAGCCCTTTGGCTTGTAAAAAGATGATGGACTCACAACAGGCCTGTCACGGCTCAGGTGGGGTGTCACCTGACGCTGCCACCACTCTGGATTTAGGTTCCCTTGAGAAAGCCCAGAGCACCCTCCCAAGACCTTCAGACCTCCCTTGTTTGGCCAAATAGTAGGCGTGAGGACCAGGCAGAGTGAAACAAGGAAAAGGTTTATTTTATAGGAGGTCAAACAACAAGGTGCAGAATAACAGTAAGTGGGTGCCCTAACGCGTCTGAATATATACTGTCCCTAGCTCACTATTCCAAGTGACACTAGACTATTCACCCTTCCCTCAGGATGAGGGTCTCTTCCCTGCAGCAGCCTTCCTTCTGGCTCTGCCCTCTGGAAGAAAGAACAGCTTTTCCTGTTGCACCAGATCTTTTATTCCAAGCCCCCCTTTTTTTTTCCCTATTGGTCAATTTTGGCTCCAAAACCTCTCAGGGGCTTCTGGGAGTTGTAGGCCCAGCCTCACCTACTGCTAGTCAGGCTCCCTGGGCCTAGTATGCCTCTGGTGGCACAGCCCAGATCATGACAGGGCCATTGAAGTGAAGACATTGTTTATAATACTACCATGGCCGGGTCCAAAGCCATCCAGTGGCACCTTTAAGACCAAGTTTTATTCGGGTACAAGCTCTCCCTCCTTTGCGAGGACAGATCTGCACGTCCCCCCCCCCCAATAGCTAGCAATCCAAAAAAGTCCAGTGGAGCCTGAGTGGTGGGTGTTGCCTTCTGACACACTTCCGGTGATGTCAGGGGGTGTGGCATATGCAAATGAGGTATGCTAATGAGTTATGCTAATGAGCTTCTGCTCCTCTTTGTCTATGAAATGACCCCTGCCTAAATGGAATTGGTGGCTGCTCACTTTATGAATTGCCGTGGCCATTTCTGAACATGTAACTATTCCAAGTGTTTGTGCCATGATGCCAAAGGGCCTTTCTTTGAGGATTTTGGGCTTGAAGGACTTCCGATCTGTATGCTCTGCTTTCTCGAGTCCGGAGAGACTGGCCTACAGAAAACCCACGTGCCTGTTGGTGAATCTTGCACATGTATGGTTGTGTGGAGCAGCGCTCAACCGTTCCCAGGTGCCCTGTCACTGCAGCACCTGGAAATTTCCTTGTGGTGCCTCGTGCATCCAGCAACGATTTTATCACAATGCTTCTCAGCAATTCTCAGTGGAAGTACAAAGCTTATTTATCGTTTTGCATCTGAACAGTTCATTCTGTGACATACTTAATGTGCATGAAGTTCTAATTGCTTGTTTATGTGCAGACTTTAACATTACATCATTCGTTGGTGGCGGAGGAATTCATTTCTTAACCTGTCGTTTTCTACACTGGCTCCAATATTCAATACAATGGTGCTTTGTAAAAGCAATAATGAAATTATGAGAAATTGGGAAAAACTCAGCTGTGGCCAGTGTGGTGTCGTGGTTAAGAGTGCCAGACTAGTATCTGGGTCTGGGAGACCCAGGTTCAGATTCCCAACTTGTGCCGTGGACGTTTGCTGGGTGACCTTGGGCCAGTTACATCCTCTCAGCTTAACCTACCTCACAGGGTTGTTGTAAGGATAAAATGGAGTAGAGGAGACTGATGTAAGCATTTTTGGGTCCCCATTGAGGAGGAAAAGGTAAAGGTTTCCTTTGCTCGAAAGCCAGTCGAATCCAACTCTAGGGGGCGGTGCTCATCTCCGTTTCCAAGCTGAAGAGCCAGTGCTGTCCGAAGATGTTTCCGTGGTCATGTGGCCGGCGTGACTAGACGTCGAGGCGCACGGAACGCTGTTACCTTCCCACCAAAGCAGTACCTATTTATCTACTTGGCCATTGTAAAGGTCGATATGGGGGCTGCCCCTGAGTGTAGTGATAGTTCTGACTCCCCTCTCCACCCGGCCCCATAACAGGTTAAGTAGGGAGCATGCGCCCTCAGGGTAACTCTTCTTCCCCATTGCTGCATCTTTCTTAGTGTTTCTGCTGGGTTGTTAGTTGCCACCTCGTGTCCAGTATGAAAATGTGCAATGTTGTCCACACTGTGTGAGCTCTATAAGATGCGAAGGCACATATTCTGGATAATAAGAACATAAGCGAAGCCAGTGTTGGATCAGGCCAATGGCCCATCCAGTCCAACACTCTGTGTCACACAGTGGCCAAAAATACCAGGGGCTATCAGGAGGTCCAGCAGTGGGGCCAGGACCCTAGAAGCCTTCCCACTGTTGCCCCCCCCAAGCACCAAGAATACAGAGCATCCCTTGCCCCAGACCGAGAGTTCCTATCTATAAGAACATAAGAGAAGCCATGTTGGTTCAGGCCAATGGCCCATCTAGTCCAACACTCTGTCACACAGTGGCCAAAAAGACCAGGTGCCATCAGGAGGTCCAGCAGTGGGGGCCAGTGATGCCTAACAGAGGATGAGCTGCAATGAAGAAGAAAAAGAGATTGGATTTATACCCCGCCCTTCACTACCGAAAGGTGTCTCAGAGTGGCTTACAAACTCCTTTCCCTCCCCCTCCCCACAACAGACACCCTGTGAGGTAGGTGGGGCTGAGAGAGCTCTGACAGAAACTCCTCTTTTTGAAGAACAGCTCTTATCAGAACTACGGCTTGTTCAAGTTCATCCAGCAGGTGCAAGTAGAGGAGTGGGGGATTCAAACCCAGTTCTCCCAGATTAGAGTCCACGCACTTAACCACTACACTAAAGTACACCAAGGAGAGCCAGCGTGATGTGGTGGTTAAGAGTGGCAGACTCTAATCTGGAGAACCGGATTTGATTCCCCACTCCTCCTCCACATGCAGTCAGCTGGGTGACCTTGGGTCAGTCACAGTTCCCTCTGAACTCTCTCAGCCTCACCTACCTCACAAGGTGCCTTGTGGCCCATCTGGAAAATTTAATCTCTAGTACCATCAACAACTGAGGTATCTGGCTTTTTTTACTAGAGTTGTATGGCATATATGAGTTATTTTATATTGTGTTTTAATGTGGTTTTAATTGTATTTTTATACTGTTGGAACTCGCGCTGAGCCTGTTAAGGGGAGGGCGGGATATAAATCCAAATAAAGAAATAAATAATTTGTGGGGAGAAGAAGGGAAGGCGATTATATGCCACTTTGAGACTCCCTAGGGTATAGAAAAGCGGGACAGAAAAACCTCTTGTTCTTCCTCAGGGGTCATTTCGTAGAAGAAGAGGTGCAGGAGTTCATTAGCATAACTCATTAGCATAACTCATTTGCATATGCCACGCCCCCTGACATCACCGGAAGTGTGTCAGAAGGCAACACCTCAGGCTCCACTGGACTGTTTTGGATGGCTAGCTATTGGGGGGGGGGAACGTGCAGATCTGTCCTCGCAGAGGAGGGAGGGCTTGTACCCGAATAAAACTTGGTCTTAAAGGTGCCACGGGACTGTTTTGGATTGCTAGCTATGGGGGGAGGGGGAAACGTGCAGATCTGTCCTCACAGAGGAGGGAGAGCTTGTACCCGAATAAAACATGGTCTTAAAGGTGCCACTGGACTGTTTTGGATTGCTAGCTATTGGGGGAGGGGGAAACGTGCAGATCTGTCCTCACAGAGGAGGGAGAGCTTGTACCTGAATAAAACGTGGTCTTAAAGGTGCCACTGGACGGTTTTGGACCCGGGGGACGGGGGACGGGGCTCTGCAACTTCCCTGGCTGCTTCTTGCTCTGACTGAGGGCTGCTGGGAGCAGGGGCGGCTCTTTACTTCCGGAGCTCCGCTCCTGTGCGCTCCTGCAGGAAATGACCCCTGTTCTTCCTTCTTCTCCTTCTCCTTCTGAGGCTTCTGATAACAGTTTAATATATACATGACAAAATCACATTTTAAAACCATTAGGACCCCCCCAAAAAACACATAGTTAAAACAATTAAAAAACAGAGTCGAGATACATACGAAACATATAAACATTGTTTAAAATATTGGGCTGGAAGGAGGGATCATCAAGGGAACTCCATTTAAAAGAAAAATACCTCTAGTTGCTGGGGGAAGATGGCAGCAGAAAGGGACAGATGGACCTCCCTGGGGAGAGAGTTCCAGAGCTTTTGGTGCCATCACCAAGTAAAGGTTTCCCTTGCGCGAAAGCCAGTCAGATCCGACTCTAGGATTACGGTGCTAATTTCCGTTTCCGAGCCGAAGAGCCAGCGCTGTCCGAAGACGTCTCCGTGGTCCCTATGTATACATTGTGGCTAATAGACACGGATGGACCTCTGCTCCATATGCTTATCCAATTCCCTCTTGAAGCTGTCCATGCTTGTAGCCGCCACCACTTCCTGTGGCAGTGAATTCCATGTGTGAATCCCTCTTTGGGTGAAGAAGGACTTCCTTTTATCCGTTCTAACCCGACCGCTCAGCAATTTCATGGGGTGCCCACGAGTTCTTGCATTGTGAAACGAATACGGAAACGGATAACGAAGTAACAAAGTTTCTCCCTGGATTTAACGAGGGGGCGTATAGGCGTAAAGGTAAAAATGGAGTATTATTGTGACAAAAACAAGATCCGTTGATGGATGGGCAGAGGCAGAATTATGGCCTGGATGAGAGCCAGTTTGGTGTCGTGGTTAAGTGCGCGGACTCCAGTCTGGGAGAGCCAGGTTTGATTCCCCACTCCTCCACTTGCACCTGGCTGGGTGACCTTGGGCAAGCCGTAGTTCTGATAAGAGCTGTCCTTGAAAAAAAGAGCAGTTTCTGTCAGATCTCTCTCAGCCCCACCTACCTCCCAGGGGGTCTGTTGTGGGGAGGGGAAGGGAAAGGAGTTTGTGAGCCGCTCTGAGACTCTAAGTGAAGGGCGGGGTATAAATCCAATCTCTTCTTCTTCTTCTTTCTCTCCTCCACCGGCATTACAACCTTGTGTTTTGATCCTTCCAGGAGGAGACAACAGGCGAGGCATAGCGAGGACCAGGAACCACTCTGAATCGGCCAGAGCCGCTCCCCATGTGGACCGGAGGCGCCAGCTCTCTGAATCCCAGGCAGATACGATGAACAGCTCAGACTGCAGGGCGACCCTCAGGCAGCTGGGGACTCCCAGAGGTGAGAACTTGGGTAGTTGCACAGCCAAAGGATGACGGATGCTTTCAGGCTTCGGTGAAAAGTCACCTGGGGTGGGTGGTTGAGCTGAGCTGATAAAAGTATAAAGTCCTCTGACTTTGGTTTTGTGGACCAGCCTTCCGACGGCTCAGGGGAAAGTTATTGGGTTCCAGATGTCTGTAAGACGTTGGTAGAAACGTGGGCAACGGGAACCTACAGCAGGATTCCCAACTGTTTTGAGGCTGCGGGCACCTTTGGAACTCTGACACAGTGTGGTGGGCACGGCGGCAAAATGGCTGCCACAAAATGGCTGCTGCAGGGGGTGGAGCCAGCCACAACTTACGTTCTGTCACATAGCAAAGATCCTTCAGTTGTGGTGGCAGCTGTGGCCAAACCAACCTTTGTAGAAATCTGCACAGCCAATCAAATGTCCAGTGGCCAATTAGAAGCCTTGCTGGACAAAAGCCCAACTTGGCCCCACCCACTTTCTGAAAACTTTCAGAGGGCACCATGGTGTGGGACCCCTGACCTACACTCTTCTTCTCTTCCTTCCCAATCATCAAGTTTCTAGCTTTCATGGCTGGAGAGGCTATGTGTGACTACTGTATTAGGAAGGTTCAGGAACTGGAAGAGAGTTTTAAAATGGGTTTAGTGATATGCCAATACAGGTGGTTCTTTTTTTTCTTTTTAAGGTTTTTATTTCAACAACATCAATAACACAATCCTTTTACAGCATGGCATGTCTTTGATATCAGTGTTTAAGTACACATTCCTAAAAACCAAACAATGCCCGTTAAGAAATGGTGATGTCACACTGTAGTATTTATACCAGACACATCTTAAATATTACAATGGCAATAAAGATTTTAAGTTTTCTGGAATCCAATATTATTTATTTATTCAAATTTATACCCAGCCCTCAGGGCGGCTTACATAAAATCCACAGAAACATTTAAATAATACAATAAAACATTTAAAACACAAGAATGGTCAGAGAAGACAAGAAGGCATAGGAAGTTTATACTCTTCTGAAGTATTCAAGTAGTACTGTAGACGGTCAGACTATAGCCACACACATCCAGAAGTGGTTACTGTTAATAAAACTGTTAAAGGACAGGTATGGTCAAGAACAGGGCTTTTTTTGTAGAAAAAGCCCAGCAGGCACTCATTAGCATAATAGGCCACACCCAACAACATGGCGTGGCCAACTTGGGAGCCAGCCGGAACTCCGTTCCTGTGCGTTCCTGCCCCAAAATAGCCCTGGTCAAGAAGGTTTAGGCTAAGTTCAGATATCACATGAAACCATGATTTCAGGCAATCTGTGGTTAAGCACAACTGTCTGAATGTGGGTCACTCCACTGTAGTTAGTTATGGTCTGTCAGATCAAGATCTGAAACTGTGTTTTGAAGCTGGTTAACCACACTTCGTCTTAGCTATGATTTTGTGCGACACATGAATGCAGGCAGTTTAACTTAGCCCTAGCTTGTTCTCTGGCACTGCTCTGCACAGATACTGAGCAAAGGCAATAAAAGCAGCATTTTCAGAGGCAAGCCAGGACCTTTAGTGAGCCACTGAAAGCTGAATCCTGGTTTCACAAATGAACCATCATTAAAATGAACAATAGTTTCATGATATGTGTGAACCAAACCTTAGTTTCATTCTGCTGAGTCCTCCCAAACAGAATGGGAACTAATATGATATACCACACTTCTATAAAGTCAGTTTGAGGTGGCTTTAACTCATGCGGACCAATTTGATATGTGACTTTTTCCATTATGTCAATTTCCCATATCTTCCGATACCACAAAGTGAGGGTTGGTGGATCTGAACATTCTCCACATAGCAGCTGTAGCAGATTTTGCTGCCACTAGAAGAATGGAGATGAGTTTTTTCCTAACCTGCGGGATTGAGGCACCTGGCCAGTAGTTTAAAAATAGTACCTCAGGGGAATAGGGCACTACAGTAGCCTGTCATTGTAAATATTTCATCTAACACTGCGTGCCAGGATTGTTTGATTTTCTCACATTGCCACCAGCAGTGTGCATAGGTTCCAATACAGGTTCTGATTGGGGAGAAAAATGGGATTAGACAGATTCACGGAGGAGAGGTTCATCAGTGGCTACTAGACGTGACGAATAAGGGGACGAATCAGAGCTGCAGACCCCTTTGTGATTTTGTGTTTCCCGATTTTGTTTTCAGGAGGTCCTCATGCTACTGGTTCAACCCCCGGGGACAGGAAGAACCGGAATAAGGCAAGTCGAGGCAGGAAGAAGGTGTTTGAAGCCTACATGTCAAAGGAGGAGGTCTCGGCAGGCCTGAAAAGGAAGCAGCTGATCCAGGTACTCGAAGTTTAGAATGTGGTTTTTTAAAATTCAAACGTAGAAACGTAGAACTGGAAGGGACGTCCAAGGGTCATCTAGTCCAACCCTCTGCATAGTGCAGGAAATTCACAGCTCCCCACCCCCATTCCCTCAATGACCCCTGCTCTGTGCTCAATGGAAGGCAAAAAAGGTCCAGGATCCCTGGGCCAATCTGGCCCGGAAGAAAATTCCTTCCTGACCCCAAAGTGACGATTGGCGTTACCCTGGCCACGAGAGCCAAGCGCTAGCTCATCCCTTCCTGCCCTCCCTCCTCCCTTCCATCCTCCAGTTTGGTGTAGTGGTTAAGTGCGCGGACTCTAATCTGGGAGAGCCGGGTTTGATTCCCCACTCCTTCACTTGCAGCTGCTGGATGACCTAGGGGAAGCCGTAGTTCCATCAGAGCTGTTCTTGAAAAAGAGCACTTACTGTCAGAGCTCTCCCAGCCCCACCGACCTCACAGGGTGTCTGTTGTGGGGAGGGGAAGGGAAGGGAGTTTGTAAACCGCTCTGAGACTCCTTTGGGTAGTGAAGGGCCGGGTATAAACCCAATCTCCCCTTCCTCCTCCTCCTCCCTTTGAGGATGCCGTGATCAGAGATGTGAAAGTGTGCGCGTGTGTGTGTAGGGGAGACTGGAAAAAATTTGGGAGGAAATGTTGTCGTCCTCCTTTTTGAGCCCCACCCCCGATTTTTACAATAGAAAAATTAGAATGTTTTAGGGCGCTCCCATAAAAGATTTTCTCTTCTAGAATGGGAGAAATGCTTCTAAAGACAAGATTTCACTTACTTAAAATGTGTGGCATGAAAATGTTTGTGTCAAGGCAATCTCTAGCCCTTGGATGGTAATTCTTATGTAGTCAGCCAGTCAGTTTATTATTACAGTCTTTGACCAGTACATAACAATTTAAAAGACAAATAGAAAAATCCCCGATACTATCCTAGCTGGTTGTGAGCCAATAAAAACCTTAGTAACATAAAAGCGTATAAGTTATATAAACCTTATAGCATACTAATTGTTGCAAAGATTATTTTCTTTTAAACAATAAATGACTATTTTAAAAATATGTATGTCTACTATATACATTCTTATGTATACAGTTGTTGTTCAGTCGCACAGTCGAGTCTGACTCTTCGCGACCCCATGGACCACATCACACCAGGCCCTCCTGTCTTCCGTCGTGCTCCGGAGTTTGCTCAATTTCATGTTCGTTGCCTCGATAACACTGCCTAACCATCTCATCCTTTGCCATCCCCTTCTTCTTTGACCTTCAATCTTTCCCAGCATCAGGGTCTTCTCCAGGGAATGCTGTATAGTAGTGAGTGCTATATAGTAGAAATACATATTTTTAAAGATTCATTTATTGTTTAAAAGAAAATAATTTTTGCAACAATTAGTATGCTTTAACGCGTTTCTGATTATTATATAGTCCTTTTCACTGATGTAAAGTTTAACGATATCCAGATATGCAGTTAGTACTAATATGAACATGTGAGACAGAGATGCAAAAGGATACTGTGGAATGCAGATTCTGAGCAAGCTGGTGAGCGTCCAGCGGGCTGAGGTGGTGGGGAGAATGGGTTGGTGAATAAAGTGGTGAGAAGAAGAAGAGATTGGATTTATACCCCGCCCTTCACTTCCTGCAGGAGTCTCAGAGCGATTTACCATCTCCTCTCCCTTCCCCTCCCCACAACAGGCACCCTGTGAGGTGGACAGGGCTGAGAGAGCTCTTTCGAGGACTGCCCTTGAGAGAACAGCTCTGAGAGAACTTGTGACTGACCCAAGGTCGCACCAGCAGCTGCATGTGGAGGAGTGGGGAATCAAACCCGGTTCTCCCAGATTAGAGCCCGTGCTCCTAACCACTACACCAAACTGGCTCTCCAGGTTGGCCACATTTTACCCAGAATCTGGGCAAGGCACGCAGTGTTCTTTTGGCCTATTAGCTGAGATGAACTCCAGCTTTCATAGTTTTAGAAGAAAGCAAGACAGCAATGTAATAAAGAAGGAGGAGGAGGAGGAGACTGGATTTATACCCTGCCCTTCACTAACCAAGGGAGCGGTTTACAATCTCTGCTCCCTTCCCCTCCTCACAACAGGCACCCTGTGAAGCAGGTGGGGCTGAAAGAGCTCTTTCCAGGACTGCCCTTGAGAGAACAGCTCCGAGAGAACTTGTGTCTGACCCAATGTCGCACCAGCAGCTGCAAGTGGAGGAGTGGGGAATCAAACCCGGTTCTCCCAGATTAGAGCCTGTGCTCCTAACCACTACACCGTGGGAGGGCAATCAGTCAGACCAGTGATGAGGGGGATGGACGGGGAAGCCAAAAGCAGTGTGTAGGGAGATGGGTGACTAGGCAAAGTCGTGGGAAAGGAACGGATGGGCAGGCAAGTGTGGTAAGGAGGGAGAGGAGGTGGTGGGGAGGGCAGACCGAGGAAAAAGGGGGCAGTGGGAGGGCAAAGGGGAGGTGGGGAACAGTGTTGGGGGTAAGGAGGGAAAAGTAAGGTATTGAAGGGAAAAAATGGGGGGAGGAGGAGGTGGTAAAGAAAGGTGACAGAGAAGGGGTTGTCAGAAGCGAGAGAAGAAAGCTGGTACCTGTGAGTTTCTCGTGGGTTCCTGTTGTTCCCTTATAAAGATGACCTCCTGAGCTGTTCCATTATACTATAGTTCTAATCCCTTTATAATTAAAAACAGTTAGACCAGGGGTGTCAAATATGCGACCCAGGGGCCAGATGAGGCCCCCGGTGGGCTTCTGTCAGGCCCGCAGTGGAACTGGCTGTCTTCTGCATCTTCTTCCACTTGTGCTGCTGCTGCGTCATCGTAGGTTTGCAGCTTACCGATACACACCCAAACAGCATACTCAAGATTGCAACAGCACAGACATTTTGATGCAATCATTCAGAGCAAGAGGTGTCAGTTATCAGACACTGTTAAATAAACAAAGTATTGCAAGAGTGCTAACGTTTTAAGCATGCTTTTATTTTAAGTTTTCAAAAAAAACCTTTGATTTTGTGTCCTTTATAAAGTTTATATCTCCGCTAGCTGGCATTACCTTTTATGACACACATGGCCCGGCCCAACGAGGTCTCGTTTATTTCAGATCCGGCCCTCATAACAAATGAGTTTGACACCCCTGAATTAGGCAAAACACACAGTTTCATAGTTTGCACCCCAAAGATACACCTTTTGTTTACTACAAAATTTTTTTTCTAATGTCAACTTTTACTTTTTTCCCTCTACCCCCTCTGAGGCCAAAAATTAAGATACCTGTGCTATGGTAGTTCAGGGTGTCGCAGCATTGCACTTTTCTGTCACGTTTTGAGTATTTTTTGCCATTTTGCTTTTGGAGGACTGAGACATTTATACCGTTGAGTTCCGTAACTATGCCAAGCCGTACAACTGTATTTGCGAAATAAAAATGCAGTGGTGCATTTTTATGTTGTTAATCAGTAAAGTAACTTTTGCATATATTTCAATTTTCCATGAGAATTCTGTCCCCCCCCCCGGAAAATGTGTCCCCCCCCATGGCTTTACTTTACTTTACATTTCGGTTTATACACCGCTCAGACCCAGAGGTCTCAGAGCGTTTTACAGGTATATTGCAAGTGCAAGTTAATCCCTAGACTATGGCCACATCTATTACAGGGGGTGGGGCTGCCTACCGGCACCCAGGTGGTGAGTTTAGCTGTTCCCCGGCTCTCTTTCCTCCGGCAGTCCACTGGCGTCGGCGTCCCGTTCTTTTTGCTGTCTAAGGCCAGTCTTCTTACCTCCGCGATCTTCTGGCGCGCGGCCCGTAGCAGCCCCGGCCCGGCTATGTACTTCAAAATTTCTGGAAATTTTACATCTTTGGCTGTGACGCAGTATCACAGGATTCCTTCTATCATTACTTTACCTCAGATATTGGCTTACTCCAGGGGTGTCGAACTCATTTGTTATGAGGGCCAGATCTGTCATAAACGAGACCTTGTTGGGCCGGGCCATGTGTGTCATAAAATTAACGCCAGGTAGCCGAGATATAAACTTTAAAAAGGATACAAACACAAAGGTAGGGTTTTTTTTAACTTAAAATAAAAACTTGCTTAAAACATCAGCACTCTTGCCATATTTTATTTACTTAACAGTGTCTGATAACTGACACCTCTTGCTCTGAATGATTGCATCAAAATGTGTGTGCTGTCGCAATCTGGAGTATGCTGTTCAGGTGTGTATCTGTAAGCTGCAAACCTATGATGATGCAGCAGCAGCACAAGTGGAAGAAGAAGCAGAAGACAGCCAGTTCCACTGCGGGCCTGATAGAAGAAGAAGAAGAGAAGAGATTGGATTTATACCCCGCCCTTCACTACCCAAAGGTGTTTCAGAGCGGCTTACAATCTCCTTTCCCTTCCCCTCCCCAGAACAGACACCCTGTGAGGTCGGTGGGGCTGAGAGAGCTCTTGACAGACACTGTTTTCAAGAACAGCTCTGAGAGAACTACGGCTTGCCCAAGGTCATCCAGCCAAGTGCAAGTGGAGAAGTGGGGAATCAAACCCGGCTTTCCCAGATTAGAGTCCGTGCTCTTAAACAGTACACCAAAGCGGTGTAGAAGCCATCCGGGGCCTCATTCGGCCCCTGGGCCACATGTTTGGCACCCCTGGCTTACTCCCTTGATGCAGGAGTGATGTGTTGGGTGCCCCAGAGAGACAGTGCTTAATTCATTTGGGATTGACACTTTCTGGTGGGGAAAAAAAATGGCAAGGTGTGACTCCTGCACATATTTCCCTGTTTTGATGGGAAATTTGGGCCTTCACCCCTGCTGTAACTAGCAAGAGTACCTCAGAAGCGGAAGATACTGTGAGCCTGTGGGATCCCCTTCCTCTGAGGTTTTCCAGAAGAGGCATCTGTCAGAGATGCTCGTGGTGTAGATTACCTAGCCTTGGGGAGTTGGCTTCAGGGACCTAGTGGAGCCCTTCCAGCTCTGTAGTCATGGGTTTCTGGAAGGTCAGGAAACTGC